TTCAGAGACATAATAACACAAAGATGATCTTATGTTGGAGTCGGCAAAGACTACAATAACAATTGAATCCATTTTAATCATATTCTGAATGCTGTATTTATTATTATTACTATTATTATCAGTGGAGAAATAGTCTGTTAGACTCAGCATTGCTATTATAGTCTGTGCCCCTTTTACACTAACACGTTTTAGTTTTAAAACAGCGTTTTAGAATCTATCCACGTTCACACTAGCATTTCTGAACAAATCTCCGTCCACACTACACAGCTAAAAAACCCACATCACATGACTACACACACACACACTCCGTCATGCACTACAGCGTATGCGCACGTCTGAGCTCCAGGCAATCAGCGGGTGCTTTTTGAGCAGATCAGAGCAGCGCATGTCAGACAGTTCATCAAGGATCTCAAGGATTTCATCTCATTAAAGTTGCTAAACGTGATATTTAACTCATCTTGTCTCTATCCAATGGTCTTTTGAATCTATTACTTGTTCTCAGGTAACACCTTTTGGCTGAGCGCAAAGATAAGTTAATATATTAGTGTAACCATGTACACTGATTCTGCTGATTGTTTGTCTTTATTTCCTATTTTATATAAGCTTATTGTATGTTACACTTTTAATAATGGCCATTTTTGAATATTAAAACTGATATTCAGCAAAAGAGAGGGTATGTTTCTTTTTTTTCCAAAGAAAATGAATGGAGGCAGTTATGTTATCCGCTTGTTAAGTGGTGACGTGTTTGTGACGTATGTAATACTGTTTCCGGGTCCAAGCCGCCATTCATTTAAGTGGAGAAATTATTCATTTATGATCACGTTTTATTTCTATCACACATTAAAGTTAATTTTACATAAAATCATAGTGTACACAACAATCTCTGGGCTTGCTGCATAACAAATACCAAAAATGTAACAATTTCTAAAAAAATGTATAACTTTCTGGCCATCGGATATTAGGCATGGACATATATACTGCGATTGTGATTTTCGAAAGCATTAAATCGCTTTGTAAACGTTTATTATTACCATTGCATGAGTCTCCCCATTCAGTTGAATAGAGCGCTTGGACACGGCAGCCGCTTCGCGTGACGTCACACTTAACAAGCGGATAATAAGTGGATAGGATTCGTTTTTTATAAATATGTATACAGTGAAGATGACGGTCATATAAATATGTAGCTAAACGATGCCTCAAAATTTTAGTGTCTGTTAAGTCAGTATCAAAATGAAAATAGTTTCCTTTTAATTGTTATGATAGTGAAACAACGTAGCCAGTTTAATGCGAACTGCTCTATTAAGTATACTGTTCCCTTTGAAGATTCACCCGATGTGTCTTCAGGAGTTTGTTTTCTATTTCAAACTTGCGAAGTCTGAACTTGAGGAAACGGTGCATGACTGAAATTTGTGCACTTAATATTAATGAAAAAGCCTTTATCAGATCGGCGAATATCTGCAGCCACAGCTCCATTTCCAGAAGTCTCCACTTTCCCTCATCCACACTGACACTGAGCTGCAGCATTTAAAAACCAAAACAGCCTCTTCAATGTCTCCAAAAAAAAAAAAATTGCTCTGTTTTCTGGGCTTTAAGTGTGGAGGGAAGGACTAACCGTAGCAAAAGTCAAGCGTTGTAAAACTAAAACGTATTCATGTAAATGGGGCCTGTGTCTGTCACATGCTTTGGCTCAGTGAATGTTGTTGGCAGAGCTGCGATATAAGTAAAACGCTATTGGCTATTTTCTGAAAAAGGAGCAGCTTTTTGATCTGCTCCACCCTGTTTTTTGTGTTTGAGTTGAAATGCCATAACACACCGTAGAAAGCAGCACATTCCAAGACACTTCAGGGGAGCTTTAAGAGATGTGTACATATGGCAGCAGGCTTGACTGCTTTCACTTAATTCCTCTTTAATTACATTCGCTACGTACACCTACACAGCCAATTAAGTTTCTACTATCAAAGGGAAAGATGGATTTTAAGTTTGCCGTCATTATCCTACCAGGACTAATGGGCCATTGTAGAGCAAACTAGTTTTATTTTTTCGTATTCACAAGAACTGTTTTCTTTCCATCTGTAATTATAATGCTTGCAGAGAAGCTCTGTGGCTCTCACTTTTTCTTCTGCACAACTTTGTTTGGTTTATTCCGCTCAAACTTCTGTAAAGTTGCTCAGACTGCCTTCCAACTTTAATTTTTTCTCTTCTTAAGCCTCGTTCACACATACAAGAACAATCTGCATTTTTTTAACAAATGCAAAAACAGCCAAAAACACTGTATTATGTATGCCAGGACATTATTTGATGGCAGCATTTTCAAAAACGTCCACTTTGAAACCAACCATTTCATTGCCAAAAATGAGTTATATGTGAAAACAAACAGACAAAATATATTTATAGTTTTCTAGTCTGTTGTTTTCTTGTACAGTTGAAGCCAGAATTATTAGCCCCCCCTTTGAATTTTTGTTTTCTTTTTTAAGTATTTCCCAAATTACGTTTAACAGAGCAAGGAAATTTTCATGGTATGTCTGATAATGTTTATTTCTTCAGGAGAAAGTCTAATTGGTTTTCTTTCAGCTAGAATAAAAGCAGTTATAATTTTTTAACACCGTTTTAAGGACAAAATTTTTAGCCCCTTTGAGCATTTTCTTGTCCGATAGTCTACAGAACAAACCATTGTTATACAGTTACTTGCCTAATTACCCTAACCTGCCTTGTTATCCTATTTAACCTAGTTAAGCCTTTAAATGTCACTTTTAGCCGTATAGAAGTGTCTTAAAAATTTCTAATCAACTATTATTTACTGTCATCATGGCAAAGATAATCTAAATCAGTTATTAGAAATTAGTTGTTAAAAGATTATGTTTAGAAATGTGCAGAAAAAAAATTATCTTCGTTAAGCAGAAATTGGAGGAAAAATGAACAGGGGGGCTAATAATTCTGACTTCAACTGTACATGATTTAATTCAAGCTCATATCCAACTTATCGGCGAAAACTGCTCTGTAGCAGTATGTGCTTTGTACTTTTGGTTCATGCACAATAGTCAATGAGAGGTGTCGTTATTGCACACAGCACGTACTTACATTTTCATTAACACATCTACTATTAGCAGCTTTAGGATGATTGCTAACAGCACACTGCTGAAAGAGTGTTTAGAACTGCTATTACTGCTAATTAAAGAATGAAATTGGCCTTTAAACTGACTTACTTGATCTGTTCGATGGTCTAATGGGTATTTTGTGTACATTTTAACCGCTCAGGTTAAATGATTGGCTAATGCAATCTATGACATGCAAACCAACTCTTTGGCAAGGTCTCAGTTGTACTTAGAAAAACAAATAGCAATACTATATGTTTCCACAACCCACATTTGAACTATTGGCATACAGTTCATTAGGAAAGTATTCATAGCGCTTCACTTTTTCCACATTTTTTTATGTTACTGCCTTATATAAATGGATTACATTTTTTTATTTCCTCCAAATTCTACACACAACACCCCATAATGGCAATGTGAAACAATTCTTTTTAAAACGCTTTTTTACAAATAAAAATAAAAAATCAGAAAAATCACACGTGCATAAGTTTTCACAGCCTTTGCTCAATACTTTGTTGATGCACCTTTGGCAGCAATTACAGTCTCAAGTCTTTTAAATATGATGCTACAAGCTTGGCACACCTGTCATTGGAAATTTTAGCTCATTCCACTTTGCAGTACCTTTCAAGCTCTATCAGGTTGGATGGGAAGCGATGGTGTACAGCCATTTTCTCTACAGTGATGTTCAATAGGATTTAGGTCTGGGCTCTGGCTGGGCCACTCAAGGACATTCACCGAGTTCTTGTGAACCCACTTCATTGATATTTTAGGCGTGTGCTTTGGGTCATTGTCCTGCTGGAAGATAAACTGTCGCCCCAGTCTGTGGTCAAGAGCACTCTGAAGCTGTTTTTCATTCAGGATGTCTCTGTACATTTCTGCATTCATCTTTCATTCTATCCTGACTAGTCTTCCAGTTCCTGCTGCAGAAAAACATCCCCAGAGCATGATGATGCTGCCACCACCATGCTTCACTGTAGGGATGGTATTAGCCTTGTGATGAGCCTGGTTTTTTCTAACGCCTGGCATTCACTCCAAAGAGTTCCATTTTAGTCTCATCAGACCAGATAGTTAGTTAGTTTCTTATGGTCTGAGAGTCCTTCAGATGCTTTTTGGCAAATTCCAGGCAGGGAGTGGCTTCCGTCTGGCCACTCTACCATACAGGCCTGATTGGTGGATTGCTACACAGATGGTTGTCCTTCTGTAAGGTTCTCCTCTCTCCACAGAAGAACGCTGGAGCTCAGACAGTGTGACCATTGGGTTATTGATCACCTCCCTGACTAAGGCCCTTCTCTCCTGATCACTTAGATGGCTGGCCAGCTGTAGGAAGAGTCCTGGTGGTTCCAAACATCTTGTCAGGATGATGGAGGCCACTGTGCTTATTGGAACTTCAGAGCAGCAGAATTTTTTTGTTACCTTCCCCAGCCTTTGTCTTCATGCTTGGTTTGTGCTTTGACATGCACTGTCAACTCTGGGACCGCATATAGACAGGTGTATGCCTTTTCAAATTATGTCCAATCAACTGAATTGACCACAGGTGAACTCCAATTAAGCTGCTGAAACAGAGTGGAAACAGAATGTACCTGAGCTCAATTTAGAGCTTCACGGCAAAGGCTGTGAATACTGATGTACATGTGATTTTTCAGGTTTTTTATTTTAAAAAATTTGCAACAATTTCAAAAAAAATCTTTTTTTTCACATTGTCATTATGAGGTATTGTTTGTAGAGTTTTGAGGAAATAAATGAATTTAATCCTTTTTTGAATGAAGTTGTAAGATAAACATTGTGGTAAAAGTGAAGCGCTATGAATACTTTTCGGATGCACTGTACATATCTGCATACAGATACAATATCTAAATTTCCTCTTTTTGCATACACATCTAATTTGCCTTTTTTTATTTTCTCTTCCAGGCGTGCGTGCAAAGAATGGGCAGCTCTCTGTCCAGAATTCACCTCCAGGCTTGGCATGGACTGCTCTTTTCCTGTCATTAATGGTGCCTTCTTTTCCCTTGTGAGGCTACTGAGTCATGTACTGTTCCTTTAAAACTTTCCTCCGCCTTCCTTCTAACAACCACACCCACTCACCTTCCCGTCTGAAGGGGATGGGCTCTCGCTCCTCCACACAGACTGCCTGCTTCGGCCTGTACCATCAACAGGACCTATGGGCCAGCCAAAGGGATGTGCTTCTTTTCCAAGGATCAAGAAATGCCTCGACTTTTTTTATTTTACTTCCTTCCTTTCTAGGTTTTTCTTTGGGATATCATTGTAGTGTTGTGCTGTACAAAGTGCAGAGAGACAGTTGTTTGAAATCTCCATGAATCCGTTTTTTTTAGGGACTGTCATCTGGAAGCTGCTAAGGCACCCTATGCGTCCCTTTACTGCATCCATTTGACCCTTTGGCTGTCCGACAAGCAACGCAGAGTAAGCTCAGTAGAAATAAGTGCATTGTTTTCTTAATAACAAGAGGAGAGTGTGGAGACTACGCAGACAAAAAAAAACAAACATTTTTTATAGTGCCGAAAATCTTACTATTTCCAGACTTGCTTTTTGTACATTGTGTTACCTTTAGAGAATCAAAAAAGCAAAACAAAAAACATGTGGAACAGTGGTGTGTTTCGGTCGGCTGCGTCCAAGTTTTTGAACGTCTGTTTTCATTTTTTTGTTACATTCGGTGGGTTTTGAGAACTAGCAGGGTTGCTGGGCAACAGTGAATCTGTCTGGACGAACCAGAGATAAAGGGTTTGGACTCAACTTGTCGTGCCCAAACACCTCTGTAGACAAAAACCAAGGCTGATCTGTAACAGTTGAAATAAATGTGATGTATATTTTTAAAAAAGGCCTCTGGTGTGTGTGTGTTCTAGGTGAAGAAGGCAGTGGAAGGTCTCTTGAATTGATTACGATCGATTCGCTGTATCAACAAAGTTTGTAGGGCACAGAATTGAGTTTGGAGAGAATTGTATTGCTCAAGAATGACTCCGTCCTCCAAGGTTTCAATGGTAAGTGTCTGGGTAAGTGAGTCATTACACAATGCATTTGCAGTGATTGGATCACAACCATCACATTAAAGTCTGATGTAAATGTAGCCTGGATCCTGAAACAGTATTCCGGATGGTTTCAGACTACAGGAATATATAATACAGGGGTTGTGCTACAAATAATCACTATCCATCATTTTGAAACATTTCCTATCGGTTTTATGTGATAATTGGGATTTTAAATATGATATTGTTAGATCTTCTGTGGTAGGAGCTCTTTTAGTTACTGTGTTGCGGGTTCTTGCCACTTTCTTTTTTATTCAACTCTTTAAATGCTAAGCAGAGATAAAGCGCCATGCTTTTTCGATCTGGTCACCAGAGTTAATGATCAATATCCCATGAATTATTCCACTGGACCACTTTTGGAAACTCACCACTAAATCCTGACTTACTATCCAAGTCTATTTCCATAGATGTACTTTAAAACTTTCTCTTATTCTTCTTGGCATCTGAACCTTTTTCAAATCAATTTCTATGAAAATGTTTCACAGTTAGAAAACAAAATAGAGGCTAAAATGACAGAAGCAGTTTAAGTTATCTGTCATATTTTTAAAGTTATGTGGAGCTCAAGCTTCGAAGCTAGCTTGATCCTACCTTTGACATACAGTATAGTAATCAGTTAATGCTAAAGAGCAATACAGTGCTAACCACTGAGCCACCCAACTGACAAGTAGCTAGGTGGCGCAGTAGGTAGTGCTGTTGCCTCACAGCAAGAAAGTCGGTGGTTCGAGCCTTGGGTAGGTCACTTGGCAATTCTGTGTGGAGATTGCATGTTTTCCGTGGGTTTCCTCTGGGTGCTCCGGTTTCCCTTACAGCCCAAAGACATGTGGTTCAGGTGAATTAGGTAGATTGTCCGTAGTGTATGAGTGTGTATGGATGTTTCCCAGAGATGGGTTGCAGCTGGAAGTGCATCCGCTGTGTAAATTATGTCCTGGATAAGTTGCTGATTCATTCTGCTGTGACGACCACAGATTAATAAAGTGACTAAGCCGAAAAAGAAAATGAATGAAGTAGCTGTGTGTAATGCTGTGTAAAAAGATTGCCTGCTATTCGTCCAAACAATGAGAGTGAAGCATCAAATATGCAAATATGAACATTAACCCAGGGTTAAGTGTAATGCACAGCGTAAAACATCTGTTAATGAATACCCAGGGTTATTTTTTCAACCCTAGGTATTAGGGATGTTAACCTACGCTTTTTATGTCATCTATTCGGTTCAATTCGATATCTCGGTGCATCACGGTGCATTGACAGTGCATTCCATACTCAATTTTTTTCTTCAAAACACAATCATTTTAAACAATTTAAAGCTAGAAATAAATCAATATTTATTTATTGTTTGTTATTCAATTTTGTCGCTTAATACAAGCAGTCAGATATATGAACTCTACCTTTCGTTTTACCTGCTCAAAGAAAACCCCTTTTTTTGAATGTTTCAAACAAAACTCCAATACAAGCACAGAAGACGTTTTGTCTTACACACCAATGATTGGTCATTGTCTTCACCCGCTTAACAGAAAGGGCTGCGATTGGCTTTGGAAATCAAAGCGCTGTTCACCGATGAGTAGGGCCTGATGGAATCTGCGGACATTTTTTGAAATTTTGTTAAAAATCTACAGATTTATGCGGAATTATTTTGGGAGTATCATAACTAAAAACTTAATATATGAAATGAAAAAATAATACATTTTAACTTTTATTTAATGTGTACCATGCAAATACAATTAGATCCAATTTATTTGGCAAACAAAGTGAGCCTCACATATCTACTGAAAAACAGAAAATATTACTTTACACACTGTATATTAAATAAATTACATGAATATGTTCATTTATAGTCAATAATATTACTGTAATTAATTTACAAACTGCATAAATATAAATTTACACACATTTACACAAGTAAATAAACAGAATCAATGATGGGCTAAAAATCAGCGGAAATCTGTGTAATTCTGCGCACGCAGATTCCATGCTGGTCTACTCATGAGTGACACTGAAAGAACAGCCGCAGTTACAGTCTATACACGCATAATACGCGGTTAACACAGGTAATCCATAATAGACACAGTGGAGAAAACTTGCACCTCAGGCACACTCATGTCTGGATCCACAAGTATCGCTTTAACAGCCAAAAAGGAGAGGACGCCAGTGGGTCAAATGTCCTAAATGAAAGAGAGAGAGAGAGGCAGAGATGGAGTTTTACAGCATTTCTCCCAAGTAGTGAAATAGGGGCTCGTGTGCTGTGCCTTCTTCAGTGTCAATGAAAGACTTTCCAGCAAACTCACCATCAGTTGAATTGTGCATAATTATCTACCTTTTAGGTAGTAGGAGCATTTTATTTACTCGCCCTCGCCTCCTTCACCATAGTTTTCTACTGTGACATCGTGCATAGGAGATAAATGATGTCAGTATGTTATAAATGGTTATGATCTCTTACTGAATCGATTTCGAATTGTCCCCATCTGCATCACGGTGCATCAAAGAAACAATTAATTTTGACACCCCTACTAGGTATAGAGTTAAAAATGTGAAATGTGTTTACAAATAACTCTGGAATCTGTTTATTTGGGGCTAGGATGGCCCAAGATGAACAATTTCATGTGCAGAAAGCCTTTATCAGTGAAACAGTAATGCTTTATTGTGGAAGTTAACAGAGTCATCATATTAGAAACCTCGGTTTGATTGTTGTTAAAATTGCAAAGCATTCAAAATTAACAAATTCATTGAAAAGAACTTAGAGAAATGAACGCATCATTTGCACAAGAATATGAACAGGAAAATTTAAAGCTTAAGCCATCGAAACAATGGAAAATTGGTTGAGCGTCTGTTTTATTATGCCCTCAAATTGCTTTATCCCCAACTGCTTTATTCTAAAATAAAAGTATTGATTTCTTTCCTGATTATTCATTGTTTCAGAGCAGTCAGGGCATGATAATAAATCCTGTAGGTGTTCCCCTCAAGCATTGGATACTTGCTGCATTGTGCAAAGGCTACTACAAGGTCTTGTACCGGGACTGCCTATAATTTTGGCCAACACAGCCTCATTCTGAAAACATAGCCCTATATATGTTTCTGGAGATCACGAATTATGCATGGCTGCATTTAAAACTTTAAAACAAATGTTATGCGGCGGTAAGACGGTATTCCTTTTCTTGCTTACCAGCTGATGTTTACCTGCATGTGGATGGCTTTTCCATTGTTGCCAGTTTGTCCTGTAGCTCGATGTGTACGTCGGCAGACTTGAGATGCAGAGCAGAGTTGACCACTACGACAGGGTTCGAGTCTGGTGAAGAATAATTCCAGAATACAGGTAAGATAAAAACAGAATGCAAAAATAAAATAAACAAGTAAAACTTGTCAGAAAAAAAGGACTTTTCTTTGTCTGGATTGCTTTTCAAAACACTGAGGTTGGGTTGAGGGAAGGGGTTAGTAAGTGCTTTTTACAATACTATTGGTTGGTTTAGGGAGAGGGGAGGGTGGAGGAATTGGTCAGTTGGTCAGTCAATCGACAGACACCTCTGGTGGACCTATGCGATAAGAGCTGGCGTGAAGAGCACTCGTGAGAGAAATTTGAGATCTGACAAAACATACACAGCCGCCTCCGGTGGATTCACAAAGTGTGGTTTATTTATAAACAAATTTAGAGAGGATCATGTGCTTATGATTGAACACAGCTGGTATTGCATTAGCTCCGTATATTTGCACCAATCAGATGAATAATGACACACTATAAATTACTAGAGCTCTCTACTCCAGTCATCTTCGTCTTGAAAAATGCCCCCTTCCACCCCTACTCCTCCCCTTCTCTGATAGGGCAGCACGGTGGCCCAGTGGGTAGCTCTGTTGCCTCACAGCAAGAACGCCGCTGATTTCTCCCTCTCCAAGCCGGTTGGTGTTTCTGTGCGGAGTTTGCATGTTCTTCTCATGTTTCGCATGGGTTTTTCCCAGGTTCTCCCCAGGTAAATTGACTACTTCAAAATATCATCCTAAGGCAACTCTTAGTCAGATTTCACAAGTAGGGGAGTTCCTGAGACCTACCTGAGCTCAAACTCTCCTCTCGCACTTTAAGTGAGAGGGAGCCCCGGGCTCAAGGACATTCCGAGCTCAGAGCTCTCTTCCGGGACAGCATGTCAAACACACTTTATTATCAATCATCAGCAAGGTGTGAACTCTTGAAAACAAAGACTGCAAAAAACGTAGCTCCTGGGACGTATTTTGCTCTCTCCAGAAATGTATATAGTGGTACGTAATGGGAATAAAGCTGGCTTGGTTTTGGCATCAGTGTAGATTGTCTTCAGACTTGTTCTCAAAGCCTCTAAACATCTCCACCTCCTGAGATTTTTGGTCAGATATCCACTTTCTAAGATCTACTTGAAGGAATGTGTCATCTTTTACTCGCCCTTGTGACGTTCCACTTTTCTTTAATTAGAGAAAAAAATGAAGCCTTCGGGACATGTCCTCAAACCCATAATGCTGGCATGACAGACTTTATTGATCCCCTAGGTGAAATCGACGTGCAAAATAGCAGCCCCTATAAATAGTAAAGCCAAAAAGTTCCTCTATACACACCGGGTGCAATTCAACCGGTCACCGTGAGACAGAACAATGGCAATTATACATGCATTAGCTGCTAATTTGGATGTTTCTATGCATAAACGTGATTTATCCGTGTTTGTGAGGGGGTCTGCTTTGAACCATGAATTTTGCAGTGTTTTTATCTCTTGCTGAACAACACCGGGTGCTTCTACATGGACGCTAATGTGGCAACCTTTAATTATTCATGCAACACC